AGTAAGCGTGAGAGCGGATATTCAACTTGTTTTCTTGCTTACGCAATAAATTGTTATCAGAGTTAAAACAGCGTACCACTTTTTTTTATTAAGATTTTGGCTTGGATGCTTGTACTTTAAGCCATGTCTTCATTTCATTCGGGATCTTCGTTTTTATAGATTTTCAGTACCCAGTGATAATAGTAATCCTTTATAAGTACACTGCTTCACAATATGTTGATGCGTCACATTGCTTAGTTTTTGGGATATCTTGACGGCAACTTGAGCCAGCAGACAGTTGGCGATAGTATCACAAAGCGCCTAAGCAAATAGACATCTTATCTTGAGATTCGCATCACCATCGCAGCACTTGTTTCACCGTTTCCACTAATAGTTCACATGCGTAGACATTTAATACACAAAATCGCACCACTTTTACATATCAAAATCCACTTCAATCTAATGGATTAAAAAAATTTAAACAATAATGCAGGAGCAGCAATGTGCCGCTGGTCAAGTTTTCGTCAAAATTTCCAACAGCGTACCGCATTCAGTGTAGACCAGTTACGATTTGATCATCTATACAAATGAATAAAATTGAAGTGTCTGTTTGTAATGTCAAAATTACAGCTTTTTACTAAATGCGTATGAAAGTATAACTAATAACAAAAATACAATTTTTAAAGTTTTGTCTGTCTGTCTGATTTTGACGGGATTTTCACTGGCAGATAGCTGATGTCACAAGGAGTAACTTAGGCTACTTTTATTTTAGAAAAAGAATTAGGGTTCCGCGCAAAAAAATTAAAACCCCTAATAACACGCGGGCGAAGTTGCGGGGAACAGCTAGTTCCGTAATAAGTCCCGGTTCCAATCACACTCAATCATTAGCGTGACGTGATTGATAACATGATAAAATCAAAATATAAATTAGAAAAGTATATAAATTTAAATATAAAAAAATTTGCTTTTTAATAAAGTTTCTTAATAAACTGTATAAGAATATCCACTACCCCATATCATCCCGAGGGGGTGTTGTAAGAGGCGACAGAGGGATAGTGAAAAAATAGGTGGGCAGCAGCATTTTCACTTGCCAATCATCATCATCATCATCATTACAGCCCTTCACAAGTCCACTGCTGAACATAGGCCTCCCCCAAAGAATGCCACAAAGCACGGGCCTGAGCCACCTGCATCCATCGACTTCCTGCATGTCTTACCAGGTCGTCACTCCATCTCGTGGGGGGACGCCCTACACTTCGCCCACCGGTACGAGGCTGCCACTCGAGAACCTTTCTTCCCCATCGGTTGTCGGTTCTTCGAGCTATATGGCCGGCCCACTGCCACTTCAGCTTACTAATTCGTTGGGCTATGTCGGTTATTCTGGTTCTACTGCGGATATCCTCATTCCTAAGTTTATCACGCAGAGAAACTCCGAGCATAGCTCTCTCCATAGCTCGCTGAGCGACCTTGAGCCTCCTCATACGGCCAGCAGTGAAGGACCACGTCTCAGTTCCGTAAGTCATCACTGGCAACACGCACTGATTGTACAATTTCGTTTTAAGGTTTTGAGGTATGTCTGACGAGAAGATGTGTCGTAGCTTCCCGAACGCTGCCCAGCCGAGTTGAATCCGTCGATTGACCTCTCGGTCGAAGTTGGACTTACCTAGTTGGACTATTTGTCCCAGGTAAACATACTCGTCAACAACTTCGAGCTTAGTGCTCCCAACAACTACCGGCGTAGGTGTGACATGGACATTAAACATAATCTTTGTTTTGTCCATGTTCATCTTAAGACCTATCCGTCGGGAAACACTATTGAGGTCATTGAGCATAGTGCTTAGGCCCTCCAGCGATTCTGCCATAAGGACTATATCGTCGGCAAATCGAAGGTGAGTGATGTACTCGCCATTGATGTTGATACCGTACCCTTTCCAGTCCAGAAGCTTGAAAACGTCTTCCAATGCAGCGGTGAAGAGTTTCGGGGATATGACGTCACCCTGTCTTACACCTCTCTGCAATTGGATAGGTTTCGTACTCTGGTTCTGTACTCGGATAGCCATCGTAGCCCTACTGTACAAGCACTTCAACACTTCGATATACCGACAGTCAACTTGGCACCGCTGAAGGGACTGCAGCACCGCCCAAATTTCGACGGAATCAAAGGCTTTCTCATAGTCCACATACGCCAGACATAGTGGCAAATTGTACTCTTCGGACTTCTGTACAACTTGCCGAAGGGTATGTATGTGGTCTATGGTGCTAAAGCCCTTTCGGAAACCGGCTTGTTCGGGAGGCTGGAAGTCGTCAAGTCTGCGCGCGAGACGATTCGTAATGACTCTCGAAAACTTGCCAAGCGTGGCAACAATGGCAAAATCTTACTTTATCGAACTTATTTAACTACTTAATCGGACAGCGCACGTTTCCTTGCCACTTAAAAAGTATGGAAATGTTTACGTAGTCGTAGGTGGATAAATACTTAACAAACTATCGCTCTACAAACATTGTCGAGACAGCTAGATTAGTTTATTTCAGTTATTAATGTTTTATGGGATTTTGGGGAATGGGGAAATGCGGCTGATTTAGAGATTATTTTTGTTTTGCAGAAGAGCGCCATAAGAGCTATTTACATCCTTAAAACGAGAGAGTCTCTTAGAGAAAAATTTAAAGAAATAAATATATTAACTTTGGCCTCTCAGTATACTTACGAAAATTTAATGTATGTTAACAAAACCAAAGATAGTTTTAGTAAAAAAAGTGATATACACTCTGTACACACTAGGAACAAACACGTGGCCCTTTTTACTGGAAATGAGGCATTCCATCTTAATCCTCACGAGGATAGATGTAGACTTCTATGGGCCGCAGCAACCACTTACCATCAGGTGGACTGTGTGCTCGTTTGTCACCCTTATCGTATAAAAAAAAAATCTAGTGATACCAGTCTCTCGACTCCACAGAGTCAGTAATTCATTCTTGGGGTAATGTATACGCCATTACAACAAAGTCCCAGAAAATATACAAGGTTTTCTATTACTTTTACATACCAAGTTTAAATATTAAATTAAACAAAAGCTTTATAAAAAGTGTTATTATAATATAAATGAATACATGGTTGGTAATAATCCCCTGGAAAATGAGGTGGTCGCTTCCAAGCTGTTCTAAAATAAATTTTGTAAATAGTTTGTAATCATTTATATTGTAAAATTTATCTAAAAAAATAACCCCCTGGGTGTCTTGCTGGTTTTTCCCAGGACAGAGGGTTTTTTTCGAACCAGTGGTAAAGTAGAAAATGACTTTCAATTAGAATTACTATTGTAGTAGTAGTAATCAATATTGAATAAAAATTATTCTATTCTATTCTATTCTAATATCGTTGCATTATAAACAGTTTAACATCCAAGCGCTTTCAAACAATGAGTGTTAGTTGGCAGCCGTCCATGGAGATCATAAATTCAAGATTGAAATGTTTCTCATAATACTTGATTATTGAGGGTCGTACAACTAGCTGACTGGAATGAGGAGGACGGTAGAGAGATAACGATTTCTTATATTTACGCGAACATTACACATTGAATAAAACTATGTTCACGGAATTTTATAAAAAAAATTACCGCATTCAATTTACTTATTTTTAATTCTTGAGGTTTCATCTGCTTTACAGCAGACATTGCCACGGGGGGGGGGGGGGGGGTGAGCTGAGATGTTTGACGTTGTAATAGTTAGCCCGGCTACCTTCAGTTTATGAATGTTAATTTTTGCTTCGGTCTACGCAGAATGAGCTTTACGGCATCTTGAAGTCCTGCAGTGGTGTGCTTGGGTTTGGATTTAATTTTCTTAATTGCAGGATCCCAAGCAAATGGCAGCACTCATCCATCTTCTCCATTGAAATTAGAATCCTCGCAAAAGAACACCTATTCCTAATTACTACCAAGGATGATACGCGAGCCTATTGAAATTAAAGGCTGGGTGCCATATGCCTTTGGGATCCTATAATTAATAACATTTATTCCAAACTCTAGCTACCACTGCAAGATTTCGTGATACTGTTACTAATATCTTGAAATCTAATATACTAAAATTATCTGGTATAATCGATTAATCTAATATAAGTACTAAAATTAAACTTTAAAAAAATTAAAAAAAAATTAAAATTAAGTTTATAGACCTAATGTAGTAAGAGTAGCACAAATATGGTTCAAGCGTTTTCAGTCCGGGAATTTTGATGTCAAAAATGCAGCTCGCTCTGGTTGCCCACATACGGATAAAGTCGATGCCATTTTTGAAAAAGTGGAGCAAGATCGGCATATTAGTTGTTACAACATAGCCCAGGAATTGAGGATTGGCCACAAAACAGTTTTGACCCATTTGAATAAGTCTGGCTATACAAAAAAGCTCGATGTTTGGGTACCACACACACGAGCTCCCCGAAAGAAGCCTAATGAATCGTGTACTCATTACTGAAACCGAATCATTTTCGATAAGTTTGATTATTGGTGATGAAAAGTGGATCACCTATGACAACAACGTGCGAAAAAGATCATGGTCAAAGGGTAGTCAAGCTCTACAGACTATAGCGAAACCCAGATTAACACGCAATAAGGTGATGCTGTGTGTATTTTTTTTTTCTTTCTTAATAACGTTACCCCCACACTAGGATTTTCTCCTGTGTCGTGGAGGCAGTTTACAAACATAAATTGCACAAGGACAAACATCCAGACCCGGAACAATTATTTGTAGGCCATACAAATACTTGTTCCGTGCGGGATTCGAACCCGCGGCCCCCAGCGCAACAACTGATTGCTAAGCAACTGCGCCACGGAGCCGTCATAATGCGCCATGTATGGTGGGATTGGAAGGGCATCGTTTATTATGAGCTTTTACCGCCGGGCAAAACCATCGATTCGGATCTCTACTGCCAACAACTAATGAGACTCAAGCAAGGAATTGAGATAAAACGAACGGAACTGATCAACAGAAAATGAGTGCTCTTTAATCATGATAACGTCAGATCACACACATCTTTGGCTACTCAGCGAAAATTGAGAGAACTTGGTTGGGAAGTGTTAATGCATCCGCCATATAGTCCTGACCTTGCATCCTCAGATTTTCACCTGTTTCGGTCTCTTCAGAATTCTTTGGGTAGTGTTAGGTCATCAAGAGAGGAATGTCAAAACTATTTATCGCATTTTTTTAATAAAAAATCCCACGATTTCTACAGCAACGGAATCATGTCACTACCTGCAATATGGCAACATGTTATCGAACAAAATGGCACATATATATTATAATTATATGTAATTAAACTTTTAAAAAAATATCTCGAATTTTTATATAAAATAAGAAGGAACTTTTTCCCCGACCTAATATGTAGAGATATTGATGTTAATTGTAATAAAAAGAGTAATCTAATTAAAGTCTTCGACAGATCCACCCACGTTTCTCATATAATACCTTCCAACATAACATAGCGACCCTGCCAGGATAGGCAGGCCAGCTAATATGTTGAAGACATCGCTAATGAAAAAAATTCTATTTGAGTGCCCGACGTCGTGTTTAGATTAATATGTATTCGGGTTTATCATTGTAAAACCAATCTGTTACCTCTGGAGACAGTCTATTTTACTATCAGCTTATCTCTGACACAGCCACTTAAAACAACATTTTAATCTTATCTCGTAAATATATTGAGAAAAGCAATATATGTCTATTATATAAAAAACCAATAATGGTCGCATAGTTTACGTAGTAACATAGTTCAACCTGTGGCCTATTAGTCGAAATTCGACTATAATTTAAATTTGTTATGGGTTTGTTTAATCGCATTGTACCATGTGTCAGAATACTAATTTTAACAAGCGACTCGGCCCGACTTCGTCTGGGTGGGGTCTTTAATGTGGCGACATATAGGTAGATTTTAAAAAATAATGACCAATGACCATTTATCTATCGAAGTCAAAAAGGCGACGGAACTCAATTCGACTGTATGTTCTTGTTGTAATTTTTTTTTAATGTGTTACCTCTTAACTTTTTCTGGGTAAACCGAATTCGACGATTCTTCTTTTGTTTGAACGCTGGTGCTTCTCATGTGGTCCCATATGAATTTGATTAAGGTCTATCCTTAATAATTTATATTGAAGTCGGTTGTACAAAATTTTTATTAATTTTTCTATTTCACAAGAAATCTCGCAAGTTTTTCGGATAAAATATAGCTGAGATCACTCCTGGCATTGCACTCTCTCTGTTCGTGTAGTTTCGTCACAATCAGTTAGCCACTCCGGCAATTTGCCAGGCTCTGTCCAACGGACAGATAGGCAAGTAGACAGACAGTCAGACGAAAATTTTGCAGCCACAGCCCGAAGGAAAGGGTAGGCAACCAGCCCCCCCCCCCCCCACCCGTAGAACCCATGGGAACGGTGGAACGCTCAACAACTAGGGCAACCTTTTTACGTCGTAGAGCCATGCTGCAGCTATATTACTTGGTGTAGCAAATTGTAGCACAAATGGGTCGGCTCTACCGGCGAAGGACCACGCTCTCACAGAATACCAGCGTAAAGTAGCAGCTTAACGCTGCTGTGTCTCGTATGGTCAGTGTAGAGAATCGGAGACCCTTTTTACTGGAAACGAGGCAATCCATTTTAGTCCTCACGGGGTGACAACGCATCTGCATTTCGATTCGTAATCGAGGATAGATGTATGTAGATGTCTATGGGCCACAGCATCTATTTACCATCAGGTGGACTGTGTGCTCATGTCGTATCCTATAAAAACCTCGCTTACATTCTATGTACCTACTGTAATTAATATATTAATCTTTGATTTGGTGTTGCAAGTTCTTCATTGGCGCGGTAGTCATTTAACATCAGGTGAGCCGCATGCTCGATTGTCCTCTTCACTTTCCAATAAAGTCACTTAATATGTACACAGCGCTCCGTCTATCTTTTATTGTTCGTCTGAGGCCACGGCAGAAATCCCACATTTTTTCTGTCGCTACAACTCTATCGTTAGCTGGCAAACGTGCTTGGCATTTTATAAGTGGTCATCATTATGTTCACACCGCAGATATTTTCAGCCCCATATTACAGAGACATTTGTTACAAAGCATTTGACATTCCCTTTTATTTTACGACACTCACGGGACGAGGTGTTTGCTCTACCGTTTTACGTTTAGTACGTACTGTTTTTTTTTTACGATAGCACATTTACGTGGGTAGAGATCATCATTTCATCATTACAGCCCTTCACAAGTCCACTGTTGAACAAAGGCCTGTACGGTATACTACAAACCACGGTCCTGAACCACCTGCATTCGTTGACTTGCTGCATCTCTTACCAGTGATGTACTCGCACAACACACACAAACACTCACGCCTGTCACCCAGAGGGGTAGGCAGAGACTACGGACTTCCATTTGGCGCGATCCTGACACACCTCTCTCGCCTCCTTTACATCCATATATCTACGCGTACACGCTCGTCGGTTAAGGATACTCCTAATCTGGCCCATTTTCAATGTATCGCCGATTTGGTCGATAAATCTTCGTCTAGGGCGTCCCTTCCCGACTCTGCCGTTCACTTCTGAAACATAAATTTGCTTTGTCACTCTTTCCTCGTTCATTCTTTCTACATGATCAAACCACCGAAGTATTTATTTTTTAATTCAGGTCACAACGTCATCTTGCAAACCACACTTTTCTCTTATCACACTATTTCTCACCCTGTCATTCAGATTCAGCCCTAGCATATTACTTAATGACCGCATTTCTACAGCATTTATTCTACACTCATGCTTCTTCAGCCAGACCCAACTTTCACTACCATACATTAAAGTAGGGACTAACACAGCATTATGAATTGCCATACGTGCCTTCTTTGACACTTTCTGACTCCTCATAATAGCGTGTAGAGCCCCATTCACTCTATTTCCTGCGTTCACTCGTCGTTATATATCCTTATCATATCTACCATCCCTGCTAAATAAACATCCCAAATATACAAACTCATCCACTTGCTCAATCAACTCCCCTTCTATTCTTATTTCACTCGCCATTGACGTTAATATCGTATCCTTTCCAGTCCAATAGCTTGAAGATGTCTTTCAATGCGGCGGTGAAGAGTTTCGGGGATATAACGTCACCCTGTCTTACACCTCTCCGCAGTTGGATAGGTTTCGTACTCTGTTTCTGTACTCGGATAGCCATCGTAGCTCTACTGTACAAACACTTCAGCACGGCAGTGAACTGTCGGTCCATCTAGGAAGGGGCGACCTGTACTTCGCTTACCGGTACGCTGATACTTGAGAATCTTCCGTGTAGTGGCGGTGTAAGGATATCTACTACCTTCTGCTGCCCATCTCCTAGTTTGTTTCCCCCTGTCACCTCTTACCGACACCCAAGGGACGATATGGGGTAGTGGATTTTCTTACACCATCGCTACACGATTTGAATGATATTAGATTTTAATTTTACTACCATGTTTTTATTAACTCGATTTCTTTCTGTGATCCCCGTGGGGTAGGTAAAGTCCAAAATGCAGCACGCTACTCACTCCACGTGTAGCCATAAAAATATGGGCTTAGATTGATAATTATCAAAGAAGTGATAGGTGGTTAGCTCATCGCCTGCACCCTACATAATCACAAACCACTAACAAGTAACACTGTTGGCACATCCTATTTTATTGTTTGTTAGTTTGTCTGTCCGGTACAATTTTGTATTCGATTTTAAACTAACTTCCCCAAAATCCATAGACTTGAAACTTTCTATATAGCTCAGAACTAGATGCAATATAAGCTCAATTTCCTGTCTGTTTGTTTGTGTGTCTGTCCGGTAGAAATTTTACAATTAAATTTGAATTAACTTCGCCATGAATTAGAGACTTGAAACTTAAGACACAGCGCAGAAGTGAAAATGAGTTGCCATATTGAATTATAATTCTTTACTTGATATTTAAACATTACTCAAAACTGATGACGGTATATGTGGTCACCATTTTGAATTATAATTTTTAACTTGACATTTCAAACATACATTTTAGACCCTTTTTATTGGAAAAGAGGCATTTCATCTTAGTCCTCACGGGTGACAACGCATCTACATTTTGATTCGCAAACGAGGATATATGTAGATGTCTATGGGCCACAGCAACCACTTACCATCAAGTAGACTGTGTGCTCGTTTGTCACCTTATCCTATAAAAAAAAACATAACTCAGAACTGACGACGTTGTATGGTCGCCATATTGAATTATATCTTTAGCATTAAATTGACATTGTAACCTTATATTTTTAACTTAAACTAATACGTTGCCACCTCTACCGTTTTCAAGTTAGCTTAAATAAACTAAACACACTGAAAGTTCCGTTACTCGTAATTGACGTATAAATTGATACTAATTGATGGTGGTATTTAGAAATTGCTAACATCACTAATTTGTGGACTTTAACGAACTGTTTCGAATTGGGTCATGTTACCGCTAGGGTTGACACGTTTTATAAATGCTTTTACAAAAATTTACTTCGCAAATTTTTAAAAGCATTTATATAATGTTTTTGTAAAAGCATTTATATAATGGATTTCCGCAAAGTAACGCCTGATTCTATTAATTATATTGACACGTTTTGTTTATATTTAAACACATCAGCGTTCTAGCTCACCACAAACACGTAAACATCGGCCAACCCTATTCTTTTGTAATTCGTGGACTTTCTGGATGCTGTGTGAGGAGTCGCCTGCATTGCGCTTGCAAAGCTGCCGTTTTTATGTAACAGGAGTGACAAACAACCACACAGTCCACTTTATGGTAAGTGGATTCTGTGGCCTATAGACATCTACATCTATCTTCAATTAAGACTCAAAATGAAATTGCGTTGCCACCCTTGAGGACTATGTGACTACTCACCATACAAAACACAGCAGCATTAATCTGCTATTTTGCGCTGGTATTCTGTGAGATTGTGAATAACTTGAATATTTTTCGATGTAAACGGCGTCGTGACGTATTTTTTTTAAATGTTATTTATAGGATAGGGTGACAAACGAGCACACAGTGCCACCTGGTTGATGGTAAGTGGTTGCTGTGACCCATAGACATCCACATTTATCCTCAATAAAGAATCAAAATGCAGACGCGTTGTCACCCGTGAGGACTAAGATGGAATGCCTCTTTTCCAGTAAAAATGGTCTCCGGCTCTCTACACTCACCATACGAAACACAGCAGCACTAATCTGCTATTTTACGCTGGTATTCTGTGAGAGCGTGGTCCTTCCCCGGTCGAGTCGACCCATTCGTGC